CACACACACACACACACACACACACAGTGTTATAATCGAGCTTCAGAGCAGATTCTTGTTTCATCAAGAAAAATAAAGACGAGTTTGAAAAACGACTTCCTGTTCCGTTTACTTCAACCATGCAAAGGTGCAGTTCTTACCTCTGACCACCAGGGGGCAGTGTCAGTTAAAACACCTGAGACTCAGGTGACAGAGCCGTCCAGATGGTTAACTCCTCTGGAGACATGATGTCACTGCTTGTCTGTGATTGGTCAGTTCTCAGCAGAGGGTTCGCTGCGATCCAGAGACGCTGACTCAGACATTTGTCCTCACAGACAGAACCTGAAGAACAAGTGAGGAACACGTCAGGAACACGTCTGTGGTTCAGGTCGTGTCTGAATCAGGTCAACACTGGAGGAGTATTTCTCCTGCAGAGTTCAGAAGGTTAAATACGTGGAAGGTTTCAGCCTCCTCATGTTTTTACTTTTACATCTCAGACACTTTACATGTTGTGATCAGAAGAAAAGAAGAAAATCTCATCATGTGTGTTAAAACGAGCTGTGCACATCAGATCATTTACGATTATCAGGTCATGAAGACACAACATGTTCCCTGACTGCAGGGTGGGGCCTGTCTCCATAACACACACACACACACACACACACATTCTCTCTCTCTCACACACACACACACACCCACACACACCCACACCCACACACACCTGATCCTCGTCTCCACCATCTATATAATCGCAGCATAAGAACCTGTTGTGATGAGGGAGGTTAGCAACACAAAGACGTCACCATGACGATGTTAAAACGAGGCCTGACACAAAAGAAAGAATATCGGAGGGCGATGGACCTGCAGTGAAAAACATTCCGTTTGGGGCTCGTCTTGATTTTGCCTCTTTGAACCTGTTGTGACTTTGATTTGCACCAAAGCAGAAAAACGGATTCATCATCACTTGTTCTTCTAAATGGACACATGGATCTGAAGTTGACCTCACTGCTGTTACACTGTGTCCCTTCATCTTTTCAGCACCGTGTATTCGTTCTGCCACAGGTTCATAATGACACTAACACGAGGCCTCGAGCTTCTGGAACCACCTGCTGAGGAAATCAGATCGTTCAGACGAATGAATAGATCTGAGCAGGACCGACGAGGGGGAGGAACTCCCCCCTGAGTCATGTGCTCTTGAAAGGTCCCCACCTTCGCAGCGGCTTCACAAGAACATAAACAATAAAGTGAATGTTGTGATGAGTCACTTTGCCTTTTTAGAATTTTTCTGATGGGAGGAGACGAATCAATAAACCAAAACACACACACACACACACAGTCTGTTTTAATTGGCATGGTGGCACCTGCATCATCGCTCAAGGCAAAAATAACCTTCACGCTGGACTGACTGGAGCGTTGCCATGATGAGAGTTAATTACGGTTCCTCACACGGTCTCAGACCAGTGTGACAGGTCGAACATGTGAGACTCCCTGCAGCCGCACCTGATTCCTCTTCAGGGCGAGGCCTGAGATGCACCGGCATCTATAAGACCAAACGTCGCACCGTCCACAAACACACTGCAAACCCCATCACAGCGACAGCCATGGAAAATCTCTTGGGTGGTTTAGTTGGTTCCGACGGCGTTGCAAAAATTATCGGAGACAAAGTTGGTGAGTATCGTTTATAAAATATCACATTTAGATTTTTACAGATGATGGAGTTGTTGTAAAGAGAGAGTTTGATTCCTCCTGACTGGACCGGATTCAAACACAACCTCACAGCAGGCGTTTGTTTTAATATAGAGAGTATATATCTTTCTTTTTCTCTATTTATTCCAGAGTGTGGTCTTTCAGTTTGAGACGTATTGATTTCACGTACAGATTTTGTAAAGCTTTAAATCTGAATCCTGCGCTTGTTCTCGAATATGCCCTGCTTGTGCTCAAACTGTGCACTTGCACTCAGATATTTTGTTGCTTGGACAGATTTCCTGCGCTTTAGTTTCAGCTCTTCTTATGCTGCATGTGTGAAACGCCCTCTCGTGGATTTTTCCTCTGCGCTTGGATTTTTTTGTGCAACAAGTCCGTCAAAATTCCTTATTTATAGAATGTCAGGTGGAGTGTTGACAAATGAAATAGTCCCGTCTTCGTGTGTTAGCTTTATTTGGAACAGTAAGCTGGAGGAATAATACAACTGAGGAGGGCGGGACCGCATGAATCCACTTAAAGTAAACTTCAACATATTATTCTGGGTGAAGCCAAAAAAATACAAAAGCTTTCCCATGGGGGCGCTACAGAGATGAAGGGACGAAGATACTGGGAAGGGCTTAAGTTTGTCAGAGTTCTGCTGCTTTTATTTTGACAGTTTGAGCGGAAACAATTTCACTGCAGGTACCCTGGACCTGCCCCACCTGTAGGTGTCAGTGTGACCTCATCACCTGAACTGTTTCATCTGTTTGCTCTGCAGGCGACGGTGTGGAGAACATTATGAGTCAAGTCCTGAGTAAAGATAAGGACGGAAAAGAGGAGCCGAAGGGAGGAGAGGGCGGTTTGGGAGATGTGCTCTCATCGCTCGGAGGGAAGAAAGACGATGACAACGGAGCCGGCGGTTTTGGAGGTATGCTCTCATCGCTCGGAGGGAAGAAAGACAATGACAACGGAGCCGGCGGTTTGGGAGGTATGCTCTCATCGCTCGGAGGGAAGAAAGACGATGACAACGGACTTGGTGAGTCCTTGTTCCATGAACGTGGAGCTTCTCCATGTTTAGTTTGATGTCGACATGAAACGAAAGTTTGAAAGTGAGGTTCTATTTATACACAATCCCATTTGTACCTTGTACTTCAGACCCCTGGAAACTTTTTTCTGTAACGTTTTAGAAAACTGCCAGCAGCAATGTCCCCATTTACAGAATACTTATTACCAGTATCACCAGTAGAACCTTCTGACAGGTTGAACTGTTCTGATGAAACAAAGTAATGACCGTTACAGAGCAACAAAGATTCAAGCTGTGTTCACTTCAAACACAAAGCACATTTTCACATTGTGTCGTACGAGCGTCCACAGCTGTGGTGTGAAATTTCAAGGGTCTGAAAAGGGGAAGACAAAAAATAAAGCTGTAACAATGAAAGACGGAGCTAAACGAGTCTTTACAGAGCAGGTGGACTGAGAATAAGGTGGGACCCAGAGTGGAGCCTTGGGGAACTCCACAGGTAGAGTCACCAATGAAAACAATGAACGTGATAAAACTAAATACAGATTTTACCATCTTCAGTGTGAGGAGTGTTTTCTACGCTCCTTGTACTTTCCATCCGACAGATCGCAAAGTCTTGTGTGTCTGTGCAAAGCCAACAAACCAAAGACAAAGTCGTCTATATTCTTTTAAAACAAGCGTCTTCTGAAAGGAAAGCTACACAGCTGGGACATGTTTGCCTCAACACTCTCAAAGTAGCTAAAAGCTTCTCTTCTCTTTAATTCAGAAAAAACTGAGCAGAATTCTTCTCTCACGCGAACTAAATATTCTTTGGTTCTTTTCAGACTGGATTTTCTGCAGCTCAGTTCATTTTGTTGAAATGTTACGAGTCTGCAGCTGTTTCATTTTTAACATTCTTGCATCTTTGTGACTTTTCTCAGCAAAGGGAGCGATGGACTTGTTGAGTGGATTCAAGTAGACGGTGTCCTGAAGGAAACTTCTCCACCTGCGGAGATTTCACCTAAAGATTATTTAAGATTTTAATCATTTGAATAATGTAACTGTAAAGAAACACTCACGACTTCATACTTATTTGTTCTTTATTGGTTTTAAACTAAATTAAACTGGAGGATTATTGTTATTATTTTTCACAGGTGAAATCTGTTGAACTTGATATAAAATAATGAAGATGGTAAACTGGGTTTTTATGTGCTAAAATGAAGAGACAGTATTTTAATTGAATGAAAGAATAACTGTCATAATTTAACTGCATTAAAACACGAGTGTAAACTGTGTCACCTGTTCTCACTAATCAAACCTTCATTTAAAGAAATAATCTGTGAAATATTGATGACGTTACTATTAAAACTGTGTCTCTGGTTTGAAATATACATTTAAATTTTTGTGTATTTTTGGGCTGGACGCTGCTCACTGTTAAAATCTACTGGTAAAAATAAAGGTGATAAAATACAAACTGTTTCCTGATGAACTTTATCTCCACTTCGAATTATTCACCATCATATGATGTCACATAAATGATCTGATCCTTGTGAAAAACGATGACATTCATAGATAAAAAATGTGTGTATCCATAATATAGATAAAACTCCTTTCTAATCATGTGGGAGGAATGATGTCACCATGACGTCAGAATGAAGGGTGATGTCATATAGGGACATCAAACAATAAGATGACGGATCTACAACTTATTTAGATTAGCCAATCACTTGTCATCATACTTAACATATAAAGAAGTTACAGTGACTTTAGAAGATGGAGCTGGAACAGGAACTTGCTTCGTTCACGCCACACATCGACCTGGTGTCGCAGAACCTCCAATAAACCGACCAATGAAGAAGAAGAAGTCAGCGCAGTCGACAGTGTTTATGTTGTTACTCTGACAGCCACTAGGAGGAGGCGAAAGTCGGTCTTTATATAATCTAGAAAATTGCAATTATTTATTATAACAATGACAATAATACCAAGTACCAAGCCTCAGTTTGACAGTTTGTCGAGAACCATCTTGGTTTTTTTAAACCAGAAGTAACCATGTTTGGAAGAGCAGGACGGAACCAGCTGTCAATCACACTGTGGTCTCCACCCCCTTCCATCCAGTTCTTTCTGGTCCGTTTGACTCTCAATGATTTTAATTGATAAACGAACATCAGCTGTTTGAAGACGACTTGAGACTGAGACAAAACTCCTGAGGACAAAGTTTACTGACGTTAGAAAGTGAGAGGAGACGTTTTCTATAGAAACTACCAGAGGAGACGCCCCCTGCTGGTCACTACACAGAAGACAGGTTTCAGGAACTCTTTTGGAGCTGTATATATTTATAAACAGTTAATACATGAATCCAGTAATCGCAAACATTTTTAAAAGAAACCTGATATTTAAATATCCAAAATATTATTTTCAACAATGTTGACAGTGAAGATTTAAACTCTTCATTTTCTGTTTCAACTACTTTTAGCTGAAAAAGCAGAAGTGGAGAAGAGTAACAGTTGTTGCTCAGGGACGTTCTTCAGAAGGTCAGTGGTTTGATCCCAGTCCTCACTCTCCTGTACGCCAAAGATACTTAGACCCAAACGCCCCTGACGGCTGCTCTCATAGAGACAGGGCTGCACAAAGGTGCAGGAATGAATGTGTGTGAATGGGTGAATGACAGAGACTTTTCTGTCTTTGAGTGTCATCAAGACTAGAAAACACAAATAAGGAGCGTTTACCTGAGTTCTGTTTGCAGGCTGTCACTCGACACCTGCGATGGTTGACACAGATTTCATCTTCTCGACATGAGTCACCAAAGGGGAGAGAGAAACTCATCACACACAGATTCCATAACACAAACACACACACACACACACACAGGTAGAACAGGTCGGACCAGTCTGAGGACACACCTGAATCCTCGACTGACAACACCTGCCAAGAAAACACAACGAACTCCAACACACGGACACACGGACCAGCTGATCAGCAGACATGAGTAAATTTACAGACTTTGTTGGAAAGAAAGTGGGTGAGTAAAAAAAAACAGAGATTTGTGTTGGTTCTGCCTGATCCTCTGAATCTGGACGAGTCGTCTGAGAACAGATTCAGTTTGTGTGGAAGCTTGTTGATGTTGTCTCCACATCACACTGTGGTCCAGAGGAGCGATGTGTGTGTTTCATGTGTGTTGATGATGAACAGTTTGTGTGAAAATGACACGAGGATCTTTGAAACTGGAGAAACACCAGAGCTGTGCCTCTCTGTGGTTTAATGCTTCCATCTTTTCTTATTTTAATCACAGCTTCGTCTCAGTTCTGTTTCATTTCCAGCTTCACCAAAGTCACAAACGACACAGTAACAGATACTCTGGTACCAGTAAAACTACTGTATTCAGTACAGTACAGAAGTATCTACAGCAGTTAAAGTACTAATAAAGTAGTTTTAACCTCATGCAGATAAACCGGGAGAAACATTTTACTACATTTACATTTATTCTGCCTTGTGAGAGCAGCCCCACCCCTGAGGTGCCTCCAGCAGATCAAATCAATCACACGTGGTCTGATCAGAAACAGTGTGAAGTGAAATTGTGATGCTGTTTGTTGAACAGGAGAGATGATGCAGGATGCGGTGAAGGACGCAGTGAAAGACGCTCTGGGTTTTGGAGACGAGGACGAAGATGAGAAGAAGAAAGAAAAAGGGGGAGGAATCCTCTCGATTTTTGGGGGAGGCAAGAAAGAGGAGGAGGACAAGGGAGGACTGTTCTCTTTTGGAGGGGACAAGAAAGAAAAAGAGGACAAAGGAGGATTCTTCTCAAATATATTCCACAGGGACGACGACGACGACAGCGATGGTGGAAAGGAGAAGAAAGCAGGATTCGCAGGTCTTTTCTCTGAACAGCAGGCAGGGGGCGCTGCAGCAGGGAGCGAGGGAGAAGGTGCGGGAAGCAGCGGAGTCAGTGTCGGAGTAGATGATGGAGGTATGTATGAAGAAGTCATTCTATAATACATTTCCACTCTCACCTTCCATATCGACAAAAGTCTGATTCGTCCAGTTCCTCAGGATCCTTCAAATAGTTTTTGTTGCTGCTAAACGTCCAGCAGGTGGCGCTGAAGGAGACTGTAGTTAGTGAAGTTAAAGTAACAAACGCTTCTTTCAGTTTCACACATGATATTCATACTTCGTTCACACTATCACACCCGAAACACACGTCACATGACCGGTCACCTCCACTGGTCATGTGATGTAAACAGGAAGTAGTGTCTCCTCTGCAGTTGGTTGCTTAGCAACAGAACCTCCTCTGAAGGAGGAGCAGTGATGGAGAAGAGTCAGAGCAGGGAGGAGGTGGAGCTGTTCCTGACAGGAAGTGTTAGCGACGCTTTGTGTTCACCGCTGGTAGTCGAGTCATGTGACTGATGAGAACGAATCAGAAGAGAACGTGGGCGTCACCATTTATTAAAGTCTCAGTTTGTGTTCAGACTAAAATATAAAACCAGAGTTTTCAAACTGAAACCAGATCAGTTCACACACGTCTCTGATCCAGAGGCTGGAGAACAGTGACGTGTCAGTGTGGGCGGAGCCTCAGTCAAAACCTGGTTTCAGACTGAACTCCTCAGGATCTGGATCTTCTCTGGAGGATGAACTCAAATGTTTCCTCTGTCTCCTTCACTCCTGTGTAAAGTCTTAATCCAGGAGAAGTGAGGACACAGCAGAGCGTCCTCCACTGATCCACTGAGGGAGTGATGAGCTAACACGTGACACATGAAGAAACACAAACAAATGTCTCGTGAAGACAGTTTGTGGTGATCAGAGCTGACGACGGTGTCAGGTGATGTAAACATGACCACGTGATCACTTCCTGTCTCTGCTCCACCTCTCACCTGAAGAACGAGGAGGATCTGATGCTGAACGAGTCTGAGCAGAAAACCTGCTGCTGAGTTGTTCAGCTGTGAAACATGAACTCTGGAGACGAGACTCTGGATTCTACCTGGAGCTCATGTCTGAAAACGACGAAGTCCAATGTTTGACTCGTTCTGACTCGGTCGCTCTTCACACGACCGTTAAATACAGCAGGTGAAAACACACTGTTGCTGTAAACGGATCAATGTGGCTCTTTCAGGGGTTTTCAGACGTCACAGAATTGCATGTTTATGACAGTTAAATGTTCGTTCGAAAGTTTGAATACATTTTTGTTCGCCTTGTTCTTTTGTTACGTCTCAGATTTGTTTAATGACCTGATGGAAGTGGCTGCAGAAAAATCTCAAGAATAATAAGACCCCGTCCAGACATCAGAGAAAAACCTGAATCAGAGGGACGACGATCAACAGCAGCCTCGTTTCCGATTGTCTGTGAACTCGTCTGAAACCTGATCTCAGCTGTCGGCAGAAGTTTCACATGGACTGAAGCAAATCTACGTTTTTCTCACAATGAACCTCCATCAAAGTCAAAAACTCCATCCAATAAGGAAAACATAGCAACTGTCTGTTAGCGCCTGCTGGAAGTTCATTTCGTTCTGTTTGGATGGAAATTGTTGTAAAATCTTATTCTGTTTATTTCTCAGTGAGAACACACAGGTCGTACTTTGGGCGAGAGAGAGTTCTCACTGATGCAGCAGGATTTTTAATGCCTGATAAACATCTGCAGTTTCATTCAGTTTCCTCAGATTCTGAAGTTTTAAATTAAGTTTTGCTTTAAAAAGTTCAGTAGCACCTGTTTCCAGGGAACATAACAAATAGAAGGTCAGAGGTCAATGAAGTGATTGAATTTGTTCATTTGTTTTTAACTGTGGTGATAAAATAATTTAAAGCTGTTAAATATATTCTGAAGATCTGACGTATCCAAGTGAAACCGTTTTTTATCATCAATCACAGTTTGTATCTTTATTAAAGGAAATCAAACAATATTTGTTTCTCTGTCATATTTGAAAGACGTTTAAATTGAAATATTAACTTGTCTCACTGAACAGTGATGCTAGTTAGCTGGACATGCTATCATTAGCATATAAACACATTCATTCCAATCTTTGGTTTTGGAAAAATCAAAAAGAGAACATCTGTCCAAACATAAAGCTGCACCACCTTCAAGTTCCTCCATCCATCAGCTGCGGTGATCAGTCCGTCAGCTGGGGAACTGAAGGTCCAGCAGAGTAAAGTCCTGACTGAGGGGGACGCTGTTCTCGTCACACAGGAAGTGGCTCCGGATGGTGATGATGAAGTTTTTCTTTGGGAGGGAGACGAGGGTGAGGATCCTGTCTGCTGCCACCTGGATGAGCTTCACCTGTGAGCCTGGAGCTGAGACACAAATATCTGTGATTGGCTGAGAGGAGACAGGTAAAGAAAAGTCTGTCTGTGATTGGCTGAGAGGAGACAGGTAAAGAAAAGTCTGTCTGTGATTGGCTGAGAGGAG